AATCCATCTTGTGGGACAATCTTTGCAGTCTCAAAATTGTGCTTATGCTCAATGCGAATCTGCAGCTCAGCATTCACTCATCTTAGAGTGCCAAGTCTGTCAATGGAGGCCGCTAGTACCATCGTCTCTCCTAAAGATCCTAGCACCACTACTATAATACTGTTGCTCTTGGCAGCATTTTTGGGTTTCATAGATTTCATAGACATTAGGGCTGGAAGGGACCTCAGAAGATCATTGAGTCCAGCCCCCCACCCAAAGGGCAGGAAGTCAGCTGGGATCATAGGATCCCATAGGTTATTTCTTTTCCTAGTTGGAATTCGGCTAAAGATGCCCATTTCTCCAACAGGGGTTTTATTATGGAAAACCTCCTGAACTTCAACTTCATTGTTCTCTTTTCTAAAGAAATGGATGCAACATTGTTCTAGCAGGTGTAATCTGAGCCTCCACCCTCATCTCTGGAGAAACAAGAAGAGAAAGAAAGGCCTAAAATATACTCAAGGATGCAACTTCCCAAGGCAAAATGTGCATTTGCCACACCCATTGACTCATGTCATGAGGCCACTGCATTACAGCCAGAGTTTAAACTCAGTAGGTTTTGAGTTCTTCATGTACTGCCTCACTGCTCTACAGGTGCACAAAGTGGGGGGTGGGGACAGAGGGAAGGAGGCATAGGAGAAACTCCAAAGACAGCGAGAGATTTCTTCACAAAACTAAAAACAATTTAAGAGAAGTATGGACTGAATACTCACCAGCTTCGTTTGCTGTCACAAGTGAAGAGAGGAAACTGAAGGATCACTGCAGTTTCTTTGCCCTTTATGTCCTGTTGGGGATCACAAAGAAGCATAAGATGCATGCGCAGTCATGACAGACATTACTAAGCAGACAAGAAACCAAGCTCATACAGTAAAGCTACATGGGTACCTACCTTGATGCCTAGACATACATACTAAAAGAACTGAAGTACTTTAAAAATAAAGTTGCTTACCGGGAATAAGTTATACTTAATTTTCCTTAAATATCACCAGCAACCTCCACTACAGATGCATCTCGCAATGATGAACTAAAGTAGAGGTGGATCCCTGCCATCCACATACAGCATAGGCAGCCTGTGTGGCACACAGCAGACTAGGGAGGGGACAGGAAGCAGAACCACAGCAGCAGAGGAAGGAGATTGAAGTGGCACCTGGGGAGGGCACAGGGCTTAAATTGTGGCACATCTGCCAGAAAAGTTGGCCCTCACTGAATTAAATCTTCATAAACTGCAGTCCCAAACACCTCACCTAACTGTAGTAATCCTGCATAAAAGACAAGACTTGACTTCTAGGTAAGAAGACATTCCTCAAGCAGGCTGAGGAGACTAATCTGGAGCTGAAGGAATACGTTCTAACATTTTCAGATATGAGGACATCTACAGAACAACAGATATACCTGAAAAAGGTTAGGAAAATTTGCAGAACTATTCTAACCTCTAGATTGTCCAGTAATTTAAGAAACTAAGTATTCAGCCCCACCTAGAGCCATTCTAAACTATTAATTCTGTCCTGAATGACAAAAGTATTCTATAGAAAAATAATACAGGAGTGTGTCATTAAAAACTGTTACCAACATTTTGTACAAATGAAAAATGTAATACATTATAGAATTTGGGGGTTTTATGTACTTGTTCAGTCTACTTACATTTTAATAAAATGTGTGAGAATAAGGTAGTGGAGATTCAAATACTTTGCCCTGTCAGGTTTCAAAACATTTAGAAGAAGCCACGACAGGCTTTGTCTTTCACCACTTTTTGAAAAGGGGATCTCTGAAATGGGTTGACAGAAGAGGTTTAGACAGAATGGCATTTTATGGAATACCCTCCTTCAATTATCTCTATAATTCAATCCAAGATAAAAATCAACATCACCTCAAAGATTTTCCAAAATGAAGGAGAGAGAGGAAAAAAAACCTTCAACCTATAGTACCATAGTTAAGGTCCCAAATTTCTTTTCTTTTATTCAAAGCAATAAAAGAAAAACTGCCTCAATTTACAGAAGACAATGTTTTGTCTCCTTGATGCTGCTCTTTCTACTTTGAAACAAAACTGCTTCCAATGAGCTCTATGCAATGCAATGAGCTATGTATACAAAAGCTGAACCAACTTTGAGATAAAAAGAATGGAGTCCCCAAAAGTAAAATTCTTGTCTTCTTAAAGATCATTGTTAGAAGAATAACCTTAAGTGGACAAAGCTGACATATTTTGTCAAGACCAGAGAACAAGTTCCTTACAATGGTAAGAACTATACAAACTTTCACCTTGAGGCAGATATCCAGGAAGGCATGGAGCATTTTAATACGCACCCTGTGGCTACAGACGTGTTTATGAAATACTTCAAGGGAAGCATCCTGCAGATCTGAGAGCCCATAAATTGAATCTTAAACCCTCTTATGACAGCGAGATCAGTTCTAAGAGCCCTTTATCCAAGGGATCCAGAGGTATAAACAGTGAGTTGTTCAATAGAGCGGTACAGAGAAGGGAGAAGAGCAAAAAGGTAATCTCTTATAAATATGTTTTGCAAACCAAGATCTGACAATTTAGTTGACAAAGAGCGTTATGATTTGCACCTCCAGAGAATCCTCAGTATTTGTGAAGAACCTGCAACTATACCTAAAAGTTTTGAGACTTACATCTGCATCAAGGCATCCTTAGATCTGAGCCTACTAGCCAAAGCAAGCTCTCAAATACTAACAATTATTTTCAAGAACTCGGGGGGGGAACGGTGAGGAGTCAAGAGGTGGAGGGAGGAGGCATTGTAGTTGGCTAAAGAAGTGCAAACATACTACCTAGCTTCAAAAAGAGGGAAAAAGAAATTACAGATCAGTCCACCTCATTTAACATCAAGATAAAAAGATACTAGAATGAATTATTAAACAACCAATTTGCAAGCATGTCTAGAGGATAAGGTAATAAGGTGACACCCACAACGGATCTGTCAAGCACCTACTGTGTCAAACCAATCAAATTTCCTTCTCTAACAGAGTAACTGATCTAGCGCATAAGGGAAAAGTAGTAGATGAAATGTATCTTCACTTCAGTAATACTTTTGACAATTTCATATGTAAACAAGAGAAAGATTATTGCAATTAAATCACCACAAGGTGCACACCCAGTTGAAAAGCTGCACTCAGAGTAAGTTTACTGGTCAACTGATAGAACATTATCAAGCCTGCCATTGAACTGGAAGAACATTTCAAGCAAAAAATCCCACAAGGTTTTGTCCTTAGCCTAATTATATTTTCTATATTTTCTCCAATGAGTTAGAAAATGGGAGAGTGCACTCATGGGCCTATTTACATTTTCACTGACACCCTGCCACACTTTTAGCTTCTTGCATTTCTTGGAATCTGAGAAAAGCAGAGTCCCCATGCCTGAAGAAAGGTGACTGCACCCAAAAGCTTGCTAAGCACTTTTTTCCAACTATTCAGTTAATCTAATAAAAGATATCACATCTACTCAAAGAACCTTGCCTGCCTATGTCCTTAGACCAACACAGCTACAATCAAAAACCCAGCTCATGGGCAGATGGCACCAAACTAGGACAGACTGCAAACACTTCAGTGGCAGGATTCACATTCAAAACAATATTGATAAAATGCCCAAATGCATCTAGATAAATGCCTAAATGCATCTAAATAAAACTGAAGCGAAACAAGAGCAATTTACCATGTTAACAGAGAGAAATCACAAAAAGTTGGCCTGAAAGACACCTTAGGACTAGGTCATTTAGTCCAACTGCCTGTTCAAGGTAGGATAATCCCTTTCTAAACCATCTGATCCAAGTATCTATCTGACTTGCTCTTAAACATATCCAAAAATGGAGATTTCACCTCTCTAGGCTATTTACTCCAATGCTTAGACAGTTAAAAAGTTCTTCCATGTAGTCAACCTATATTTTCCCTTCTTGCCATTTAAGACCATTACTTATCCTGTCCCCTACAGCCACAGATATAATCCCTATTTTATATTTATCCAGTCAGACAGTAATACCCCAGAAAAGGGAGTAGGAGTTTTAGTGGATCGCCAAGTGAACGAGAGTCAAAAATCTGATACCGTTGCTAGAGACAAATACCTTCTTTCTAGGATACACGCAACACACAGGAAAAATCTCACTAGGTAAGGCCTCAGATGCAGTTCTGTGTCCAGTTGTGGGTAGCATAGTTTAACAAAGATATAAACAAACAGGAGGGCGTGCAAAGGAGAGCAAAGAGAGTGGTAAGAGGTTTGGAAAACATAACCTATGAGGTAAGATTTAAAGAAATTGCTTGTTTTGTTTAGAAAAGGGAAGGCCAAGGGGCAAAATAACATTCTTCATCTACCTGAAAGGCTGCAATAAAGAGAATGAACAATTGTTCTCCACCTTGGGCTAGACAAATAAGTTTAATTTGCAGCAAAAAGTATCTAAGTGATCATGGAAAACTTCCTACATACAAGGATAGAACAGCACAGGAACAAGTTAGGAAGACTAGGATTTAAGGGACTAAGTTTTTAAGGGAAAAAACAGACAAAAATCTGTCATGGATGGTCCAAGACTACTTAGCCTGCCTCAACAAGAGTAAAACGAACCAGATGACCTCCCAGCCCTACATTTCTATTTGTACGTTAAAATGGAAGCAAGTTTTATTATCTGCATGTGTTTACCCCGCTTCTGTCAGGAAAAATCAAGAGATGACATTTCTGCTTATTACAGTCTTCATCAGGCTTTTGATATCTCTCTTCGTCCCAAAGACCAGAGGCAGTACAGAAGCTGGTCTGTGATACACAATGCTCTGGCATACGAAGCATGACACCTGGAACACCAAGCACTGCACATCCTCTGCTGGGGAACAAAAGTAAAGCTACACGGAAGGCAACAAGAATGAGCCAATCCAAACCTAAAAAGGGAACGGATATCAAATTGGGTAATCACAGAGAGTGCAATTCTACCAGTAACATAAAAACTCATTTTTGGTTTTTTTTCACAGCCAACTCGCAACACAAGATGTCTAGTAAAATACATAATACAGAGAAATAAGGATGGGGTTGTGATTTCTGACTTGACTGCCACAGCAGTAAGAAGGAAATGAGGTAGAAGCAGGGCTAATTCTCCTTATATAATTTCACACAGAATGATTAGTTCTGCCCCAATAGTAACAACTTTCCAGAGGCTTCTGACTTGTCGCCAAGATTAAATGCACATGTAAGCACAGCTTCTCTATTCTCTACTGACAGACTATTCCAAGGAGAACATATCATTATTATTTTACTATAGAATTAAATGCACTGTTTGAACAGCAATAAGAGGTCACCATCACCATGGAACCAAGCTGGCTAGATTAAGACTTTTAAAAAAAATGCGTGGCACAGTTAGATATTTTTAAGAAGTCACACCCTATAACAAGAGGATGCAGAGTGATCACCCTAAGCGTTCTAGTAATGTTCAACAATGCCCAAGCTCAGCGTATGGAAGACACAGATTCACATGTTGAAAACTTTTGTTAAAAAAAGGCAAGTTTTCAGTCACCTGTGGACTGAATGTCCCCTTTTAAAACTGGTTAGTAAGGACATTCCACACACACCACTGTACTGCTAAAAGAGATGTAATTATTTATTATTTTTAAGTTCAGTCATTTTGGGGCAAAATACCCATTACTGGTAATTTATTTGAATTAAACCAACTGAAAAATAATAGTTTAAAACCAGTCATCAAATAGTAGACACTCTACACTAAAACTACAAGTTTCTGCCAAATTTTTAAACCTATTGGTACTTTTGTAAGATTTGATAGCATTTTCAGCACAATCCTTTATGATACACTATTTAAAAATATCAAATTCACTTCCAAAAAAAAAATCCTTATTTCCTCAAAAACATAGTATTTTTAATACATGTAAATAATTCCCTAAGGAAAATTTTACTAGCTAAGACCCTAATTTCTTAAAGACCAACATGATTTCCTGCAACAGCATTCCAAATATTACCTATTGTAATAGCTTTTAAAAATTCAGCTACTTCCTCTAACTTTGTCCACTTTGTACTTAAACATTTAACATGACCATTTCTTGAACAAAAGCCTTATAGATTAGATAAAAGGAAAGGTAACAGTTTTAGGCACAAAAGAGACTTATTTTTTATGTCTTGCCTGAAATAATGAGTAAACAGTCCAATATAATCTTACAGTCATGTCCATAAATCTTGCTTTTACATTTAAATCACAAGGAAAAAGTAAACAGACTTCATGACAAGAAAAGCATATTTCTTTTAAGGAAGTTTTCTTATCCTAAGATCAAGACAAGAAATTATTCTTGTAATACTAAACGATCATGTTATTGTTTATTTGGAGAACTCCAATTTACCTCAAGCTATATGCAAGGTTATAACCATAAGTTTACCACATTAAGTTGCTGTCCAGTAGAGAGCCAAGGTCAAAGGAAAAAGTTTTTGAAACTGTGTTTGACTTAATTCCTTAAGTTTAGAATTGACAAAATACTCTTTTCTTTATACTTGAGAGTGAGGGTATTTATTGACAAACCTAATAAAATAAACAAACACTGACATCAAAAACATACATCCTCACAGCTTGTTAGAACAGATAAAGATATGGACCACAGTCCCTTGTAAAAAAAGCATTATATATGTTTTAAAAATAAAAATTTAGATCAGAAATATTTTGTTCAGTATATAGAAAGTAAATTATCTCCCTGTTTAAATCACTATACAGTGCAAACCTCATTCTCATTTTACTTGTATTGCTAAAACTCCACTTCACTACTCTGAGAAAAAAAGTCAGGCCCTGTGTTCTCAACAACTACACAATCTGAAAGTGAATTCAAAACTCTCAGCATAGATCTAAAAGAAAATAATCTGATCAGCTGAGAGAGCAAGATTCAAAGGGCTTAAAAACATTGGGAAAAAATTGGAATCTTTTTTCTTTGAAACCAACTCTAGAAGAACCCTCATTTTTCTTTCTCCAACTGTTCTTCATCCAGCTTTCTCATGATTGTGACATACAAATGTCTTTATAATAGTATCTTAGTCTGAATATTCTATTTTCACACTTTTCTGCACTCTGCATACTACACACATCCCTACCAGCATGCATAAAGATTTGATATTTTGAAACCCTTAAAAGTGTCATTGAACTTCAACACACAACTCTATAGCAACTCCATTTCTATTGAAAGTACTTGCATTAAAGCCCCAGAGGTCTCCAGTTACTTTTGAAATGGGGAAGTCTTTCTTCATCTCTTTATACTGAATAAAATAATGAATATCAACAGTTGTAGCCTCATCTTTCATCCCTATGTATCTGATCATTCAAGTCTACTAACATGAACAATATCTATCATACAATAACAATCCAGTAAATCTTCCTTCCATGAGAGAATGAATAGCCTAGAGCACTGATATTTTTCACCTCTGGGTCACAAGTTTGAATCCAGCTGTAGTTAGTAGTGACCTTAAGTTATTACCAAATGATGGCTTTTCAGCAGTGGACGTGAAATGAGTCTGCACACTCTAGTTTGTAGCACACAGTTTCCTTAAGGATTTATAATTACCAACATTTCAGTTAGTCCTTTTATTATCAGCCCCAGAAGGATAACCATGTTGTTGAACAGATGTGGCACCTGAACTCCTAAAGGACAAAAGTGGAATAAAGTTCAGAAGCTAAGACCACCACTGGTAATGCTACAGATATCTTACAGATACAATACTTAAAGCTTCACAGCTATTAAGCTGGGCCTGTTTTAAAATCTTCCTCCCACAGAGCTTTGAAGACCTGTAAAGTCGTTTTCCAGGTTTAATATTAATGCACTGACATGGTCTCCCTCATTTTTAAGATTACCTTTAGCAAAATTTATTAAATCAAAATTTAAAAATTGGTTATCATTGCTGATTATATTGTTTATATCTTCTTGCATCTATAATGCTGATAACACTTCAGTCAATCACACTTTTCACCTATCAACAATGTTATTATACTAGTAATCTCACACCCTAGTCATGCATGTTCCTCCTGCCTCTCAACCCAGTGGAATACTGCTTTCTGGGCACAAACTAAACAATGTAGGGCCTGAACACATTTATTTTTTTAGAAGTACTGCATTTAATCTCTAAATTTAACTGGTTTATACTATTTCATCCTTTGTCTGAACATCACAGAAGTAGAAAGCAGAACAGTAGCAGAAATATTTTAGTACAGGCTTCCCTATTTGTCATTTGTAATGGTAAAAAGTTTGATTTCTTGCCTGCAGAAAAATGTGAGAGTCAACAGTAAAACACTTATACATGTATATATACATATTGTATATGTATGTGTTTTATACACACACACATGCACACACACACACACCCTCATGTATGGCCAGAATTTGGGATAATAGGTTATATGGATATGTGGTTTTCAGATTTACAGAAATCTATCTAAGTCTGTTTGGAGCTTCACACATTTATTTTTACTTTCACATCTGATGTGCAGCAATATGAATAACTAAGGTGTATACTTAAGACACACACTTTGAGATTTATCTATTCAGAAGTGATATTAACACTGGGGTGTGTGTTCTTATAGCAGTAAAGCTGTGCATTATCACTGCTAACTGCATTACCTAGTAATGCCTTAGGTGGGGAGAATCTCAGAAATCCCTTGTTAAAAATTGTGCCACCAAGGATTAGGATGATTTCCCTGACTTCTTACAGATTTGGAACAAGGCATTTACTACAAGGAGGCAAAACATAAGAATCTCTTATTAAAATAATGGTGCAATAACATTTAAGGTTGAAAAGATTCTCCAGGAATTTATATGAAACAGACTGCTGCTCTCAACCATGTAAATGTTCATAAGAAAGGTATGTTCCTTCTATACCTCACAGGCAATTGATGTTCCAACTAATGCACAAGCAGAGTAAGTTATTTCTTCTTGACTCTTATCTGAAAAGATCTCAGGCCACTGGGGACCTAAGTTTCCTCTTAGATACCAATAATACAAAAAATAGTGACAGAAAATCTTGCACACTGAATACTCACTTGGTCATCAAGTGTTGCAGGGAAATGTCCACTGCTAGTATACATGTCATGGCCCATTAAGCTGCCCAGTACTACCTCACTGTTTCCTTGTACCTTCCTAATCTGTTTACCTGCCTAGTGTCTATTCATCACAACTTAACTCCATTTCTGCTTCTCATATCATCTTCTCCCCTGCTCTGTTCTCCTCAATCCCCTTTTCTTCCATTCATCTTTCTGTTTTACTTAATCCTTTCCCACACTCCACCCAAAAGCATGTGGAGCTAACATGGTGTGTGCTACCGTCGCAGTGTTCACCCAGGTTGTTATAGCCCTCCCCCGCCACATGCGTAGTCTGGATTAGTGACTATCTAGCACTCTGTTTATACAGTGCCTACTACAACAGGGCCTCTGACCTTCCAGCAGTGAACAATAAGATAATCAACGTCTTGTCTTCCGCTCAGATTGCAAATTCTTTGATTCCAGGGATTCACCTTTTTGTACCGGGCTTGTAAAACACAATGAGGTTCTGGAGCTAGACAGTAAGTAGGGCTCCTAGACGCTTTGGTAATCTAAACAATAAATAACAACAGCATTCAGTTCATCTTTAGTCAGCAGAAAGGGACTGATATTGGCAAATCATTAGAAAGATTTTTTTTTGGATCAGGACACTATATAAATAAGGATGATCCTCATCTCTTCACACATCGTGGGAGATCAAACTGCTCATCTGAATTTGTCGCCGTGGTCCTTATCACAAAACAGATTTACAGCACCTAGATAATAAAAACCTCAAGACATAGGACATTACGTGCTCTCTGCACCGATGTCTTTCACTGTCTGGTCTCCAAAGAAAAAAGGAACATTAAAAGGTAGGAGGAAGTTAGAAGAATCCATTCCACTTCAGGTCTTGAAAGCTCTAATTAAAATTCAATATTGTACTTTGTATGTGGGTTCCTACATGAAACTCCTGTCATGGTTAAGACTTAAGGTTAAGCAGGTTAATAGAGTCCAATAAAATAGCTCTATTGAATTATGCCGAACCATTGTCCTACACCCGACTGCAATCTGCCGCTCATCTTTACCTGACAGACGCACTAAGTTTCCAACTAAGGTAACGTATGGCTACAACCCCCCCAAAAATAAATAAATAAAATTCCCACAAAAAATCAGCATCTCCCCGGTCTCCAACTCCCCCCTTTCCTCCTTCCCTGGAAAAAAAAAACAGCATGTTATTTACAGCTCAAATCATTTCTTTCCTCCAGCCTGCTACTCCAATCATCACACAGTCATGTGCTAAAAGAATTGTGCAGACCTGCCAAGTCTCATTCTCCTGAGCCACGCTCCCCTCAAGGCCACGGCACTTTCCAACTTGCCGCCCTTTGCGTGGACAGGTTTCACGCCAGGCCTGAGGGACTCAGCCCCGCAGCCCGCGCATTTGGAGCGCAGCAAACCCAGCCCCCCCCCGGCCTGGCCCGGCCTGGCCTGGCCCGGCCCGGCCCTGCCCTCCTCTCGGGGCAGCGACCTTCCCGCGTGGGCCTCACCCCCGTGGCCCCGGGGGGGGTAGGGGCTGCGGGCACAGCTCCCAGGCGCTTGGCAGACCTGTCACAAGCAGCCCCCTACCCCGCAGACCGGGCAGCCTGTTTTGTTTTGTTTTTTTATTCAAAGCTACTCCTTCGTGGCAGGGGGGAGGGAGGGGGGAACCAAGGAGACTCGCGCCCAACCCCTACCCCACTGCTGAGGACAGGCCAAGGCCAAGCTGCCCCCCCGTGTCCCCGCGAGCGGCAGGTGCCGGGAGCCATATTAGCTCGGCCCGCCCCGCCCCCGCCGCCACC